GAAATACTCCAGGTGGACACCTTCAGCAATCAGGAGCTCCTCAGTTGCTCATAGCAAATCCTACCTTGGAGTTTACAAAGACTTATGGGTAGAAAAGCCACACAAAGTAATTTACTACACTGCAATATGTTTTTAAAAGCTTGGAGGATTTTTGAAGATTTTTGTACAAATGAAAGACTTTCACATAACTAAGTTTGAATGCCACATACTAAAATTTTGGGAATGGTACGGATGTATCAGTACTCAGTAATATAAGAGGTGCTCATTTTACTTAACCAACATAAAATAGAGTGTAAAAATATTTACAAGTATGTAAACTGTTGGAAGACATTGAAATTGTCATTTACTTTTAAGATGTACTGAATGGAAAGTTCTTCAAGCAGACTGCCAGCTAGGAATGGGGTTTTGAGCTTCATCTTTTCCCATTTTGTGTGTGTTAGAGTATAGGCCACTAACGGTCTCTTTAAACAAATAGTAGTCTATTTGTAAAGTGTGAAAGTACTAGTATTACATTTCTTTTGCTGAATATCATAGTATCACAATGTTTTTGGTTAGTTAACTTCGTTAATGTGGGAAATTTTGGTGGGCTTTTTTCCATCATTTATTATACAGATACATAAAACGATGAAAGATGGCTATAGATGTAAGTCTATTTGCCCCTAAGTAACACGGAAATTAGAGTAGAAAGAGCATGTATAATTAAGAATTGAACTCTTTCTTTCTAGGGGAAATTAGTTGTCAGTGATCTTTTCCTAAATAACAGTTCCTTCCTTAGATTTGCAATAATTAATACTTGGGTTCCATGTATTCTTTAGTTTTTGTAGGTATTTTGGTTTGTTTTTTAGACTATTAGCTCTGTCAAAAAACCAAACAAACCAGACGGACTGCTGTCGAGTCAGATTTGACTTATAACGCCCCCTCCCTGGGTTTCCGAGGTGGTATCACTACGGAAGTAGATTGCCCGAACTTACTTCCGAGAGCTCTGTCAAAGCAGAGGCCAATTCTAGTAATTATTTTGTTTTCTATTAATGTTGGATGGAAAAGAACATGCATAGTGTTTTAGGATACCTCCATACTTAAAATTAGTCAAAATGTACCATGTTTTGTATAGCACAAGAAGTCATTTATAGTAACATACCTTCTTTCTTTTTTTTTTTTTTACCACTAAGGAATAAAATAGGAGTCCTGGTATGGTAGTGCAATGCTAAAAGCTCATCTGCTAACACGAAAGTCATAGGTTCAAATTCACCAGCTGCTCTATAGGAGAAAGATGTGGCAGTCTTGGAAACCCTGTTAGGGCAGTTCTGTTCTGTCCTGCCAGGCAACTATGAGTCAGAATTGGGTCACTTTGAATGGGAATGAAGAAGAAAAATATTGCCAATTAAAGTAATATGTATCACTTGTAAGAAGTAGTCCCGGTTTTTAGAGATGATAAAATGTAGGAAACTGTCTTAATAGCTTGGGGCCTTCAAATTGATTAGAATCAGTCTTAATAGTCATCTTCTACTTTGTTTTTTCCATAGTGGTAGAGGAATCTAGAGAGGCTCTTGGTCATCAGCTTGTTATGTCATGCTCTGAGGTATTCATTCAGCTAGGACCTTTTGGAGTACAGGCATTTCTTACAGTTTATTAGAAATAGTTCTTGTGAGAACAGTTTTATAGTTTGGAAATTTGTTCCCCAATAAGGACTTGTCATTTTTTAACAAATGTAGCCCATAATATGTTGAAAAAGCTACTTGAAGTGATAGAATTCTAGACAGTTTGAGAATTTGATGAAGAATCTTAGCCTGATAACTGATTTGCATGTTTTCACATTGCTAAGTAGTGTGAGCCTAGACTAAAATTCAAGATGTGTTTTCCATTCTGTGTTGTTTCTATAGGGCTAACTTTTTTTTCTTAATTGTGATTTGGGTGAAGATTTACAGAGCAAATTTATTTTCTATACATTATTTCACATATACTTTGTCTCATGTCATTGACCACAATTTACAATGCAGCAGCTCCCCTCCCACTTCCTCCCCATAGTTAACTTCTTCCCAGTGTCCATCCCTCCATACTCTCCTGCCCCCTGAGCTGTCTCCCTGTGCATAAGCAGCCCTTCTTTCTCCCATGATTGTTCTCTCCAAGGCGTGTATCTACTTGAGGTAAATGTTTAACTCACATGCCTGTATTTTGTTTGGCTGGAAACCACAGGTGTGGGTTCAATTCCAGACCTGAAGGGCAGCTAGGGGCCATAATCTCAGTGGTTCCACCAGGTTCTATTGGACCAGCAAACCTGGTCTTCACCTTTTTTTTTTTTTTCCTCCTTCAAATGATTGAGTTTTGTTCCACATTGTTCTCCCTCTCTATCAAGGATCTCCTACATAGATTCCCTTCCAAGTGGATGACAGTGGTAGCTGGGCACCATCTAGTTCTTCTGGTCTCATAGTTGTATAGGCTGCAGCTCAGATGGTGTACCAGTGGCTAGGACTAATTGTTTCCATGAATTTTGGTTTTCTTCATTCTTCTTTGCTCTGGACGAGGAGAGACCCATCGTTCCATCTAGATGGCAGCTTGCTAGCTTTTAAGATGCCAGTCGCTACTTGCCAAGGTAGGAGGTGGAACAGTGTTATGTATAGTATGTTATGCCACTTGAGCTTGATGTCCCCTGTGACTATGGTCCCAAGCCCGCAGGTTCAACTACTTGGTCCCTTTGGGTAGCTGGCTGTGACCAAGCAGTGACCCTAGCCTTGCCCCTTGTCAGCTCTACTATACACCTGGGAATTCTGATCATTCACATAAACTTATAGGACCATTGTCTGCCAACCCTATATATGATCTTGGGTACACTCCCCATTTCATAGACATACTTAATCGTTTAGTATAGGGCCAACTTTGGAATTCTGTAAAATGTCTTAACATTTTTTTCATAGACTATGAGAAGGGATTCTGAGCTGTTAGGGACTAGAAACTTGTACTGAGAGATCAGTGACTGACTCTCTGCCCTTTTCACCTTCATGTGTATGTCTGAAATTTATTCCCTTGTTTCTTATCTAGCTGTTCTTGTGGGTTTTTTTTAGTGGGTTCACTTTTTATTTTTTACCCCCCAGGCCTGTTTCGGAGCCTGCATGCATATGGATTTCTACCTCCCTTTATTTTCCTTTTTTGTTTATTTTCTCTGGTTTCCATTTTTAAGGCATTTCTCTGGTAACTTAAATCAGATAAATAAAAATTACCGATACCTGGAAAGTTAGTTACAAAACATTCCAGAACTTAAAAGTTTTCATTCAAATGTTGACTTGAGGTTCCGATTGGTAATTGCTGTTACATGTGGTGGAATCCTTACTGCTTTCTAGAACCTAACTCTTGATTGATCTGAATGTAGGCCCTGATGATGATGATTTTGATTCTGATAGTTGGAATTGTCTAATCAGAGAGTATTCTAAATTACCTCCAGAAAATCACATTTAGACTTTTTTTTAAAAAAGCACATTGTATTGAAATATAATTTATGTACAGTGAAATACACAAAACTAAAGTGACATGGGTCAGTGCATTTCACATTTGGACTCTTAAATAGAACTATTCGAAACTTACTTCCCTAAACTTTGTATACCCTTGTTTACTTTCTCTTTACACACACACACACACACACACACACACACACAGAGAGAGAGACTCTCGCTCTCTCTCACCCACCCACCTACTCACCCCTACCTGTTAGTATGCCTTCTTTCCTTATACTTTCTTCCTTTATTACCCTTTGTCTCTTAAAATATTCATCCACAAATTACTGTTTGTGACTTACACCTTCTTTAGCAGAGAGTTTTGTTTGCCTTTGTCATTACTCCCTTCTTAATCTTATACTGAATAAATGGAACTGATATTAATTGTGACTGGGTTTTCTATTTCAGTGTAATTGGAATCTTTCAGTCATTTATTGCTTGAAAGAATGATGTGGATGGAGACTTAAATTACGAATAAGTGTTTTCAGAACTGGGCTTTGGTATTTAGTGAAGTGTGTGTAGAATTTTAGCCCCATCATGTGGCAAAATTTTGAACTGCATCTGGTTGATTATATGTCTGTGACTTATGAACTGATTTGATTGCAATCAGTAGGAATGGTCAGGGCAG